TTGTAGCCCAGTCAGCATGGATGCCCGGGACGGGCAACACCGCGCCGTATTATAAAACTGTGTAAACCGCACCCCACCGGCAGCAAGCCGGTCAAGATTCGGCGTATGGACTTCGCCACCGTAGCAGCCTAAGTCGGAAAAGCCCATATCATCGTTCAGAATGAGGACGATGTTAGGTTTTCTATTTTCATTCATAGAATTGGTATCCCTTTCATTCGTAAAATTGGTATTGCTTTTGGTGATATGGTTACGTTAGGATTAAAGGAGAAACACAAAATCTGAATAGAATTGAGCAACAGAATCTCGCCCAATAAAGGAGCAAAACATGATTGCGAATTTGATTACGCTCTTCCGTTTAATCCTAGTATTCGTTGTGATCTCACTCTTCGGACAGCATCTCTATTTAGACATTGTACTTGTTGCGTTGATCGGATTGATTCTATTCCTCGATGCGGTTGACGGTTATGTTGCTCGAAAACTCAACCAAACTTCAGCTTTCGGGGCACTGTTCGATATAGTCGGCGATCGCATTGTTGAATGTATCTTCTGGGTTTATTTCGCTGTTATTGGATTGATTCCAATCTGGATTCCAGTTATAGTGATTGCTCGTGGCTTCTTTACAGACGGCTTGCGGAGTGCTGCCTTTGCCCAAGGGAAAACTGCGTTTGGTGAGAACTCAATGATGTCCTCAAGATGGACACGTGCGCTCACAAGTTCGCGAGTGAGTCGTAGTATTTACGGCATTGCGAAAACGATCGCCTTCCTCTACCTTGGTGGTCTTATCGCCTTCAAAAATTCCGGAGTCTACCCAGAATTGGTTACCGGTCTGGAATTAACGGGCGTGATTCTATCAGCCGTAACTGTTGCGATGTGTCTAATTCGCGGACTCCCTGTTCTGATTGATGGCTGGAAATATGTGAAAAGCTAACTGCACTTTACCGAGAGTGCCATCGCAGAACAGTCCTTATTGTCGCGACATACGACTGTAGCCGGTCCTATTTAGCAGTAAGCGACTTCCGTCTTCACTTGCGAGGGATACAAAAAGCGGTTTTGCCGCCGAATATGCATCTGCTGGAAGTATCCGCTTTTTTAAGGGTAAATACGAGTTGGTAAGTAATAATATTTTCAACTTGTCTATACTCCCGACTCAGTTCCGCTATCTCTATAGTGTGATGAATGTTCTCTGGCAGAACAGCTGTCCATCCTTCTGGAATTCGGATGCGAATCGTCTTCTCAATTCGCATCGGGTAGCCAAAGTCCAGCGAATAGGTGCGTTGTTCATCAGCAAAAGTTTCAGCGTATGCCGAGAATTCATCAATCGGTAAGGGGAGTAACATGCTGTTCCCCAAAGATTTTGCGTAATTTTCGACATGAAAACCGAGATTGATTTCCACCGGTACATTGAGGTCGCCAAGGTCTGACATATCACACTGCTCTATTTGGATGCCCGGAAATTGCTGGCTGAGTTCAGTCGCTAAGGTGGTATTCACTGCACTCGGATGTATCTGTTGGTAAGTCCACCGAGTATTTAGATTGTATTGTCCACTTGTCTGAATGCGAAGCGTACCTTGCACTGTGCCTTCATTGTTTAACGTCAATTCTGTCATACTGACAAATCGGTTGGATTCAGATGGAAAAACAGGTGTCTCCACAAACACGCCGTGTGTATCGGAGATGAGGAATCCGGTACGTCCCTGTGTGCTATACGGCAGATCGCCATAACTACAGGTCGCTGCCGTTGCATCCAACCAGATATAGGTGTTCGTACTGGTAGGTATCGCGGCAATCATATGATCAAACTGACTGAGAAATGGAAGTGCTGTACCAACTCGCTCATGTGGTCCCATGCTAATCAGACAAGGATAAGCTTTGATGCCAGCCAGATCTAACATTGAAATCAGGAGCGTTGTTTTGTCCTTGCAGTCCCCGTATTGCATCCGAAAAACCTCGGTGGCATATGAGGGCTGGTAAGCACTTTGTCCGAGTTCAATACCAACATAACGAATATTTGAGGCAACGAAATGGTAGATAGCGCGTATCTTCGCTTCATCCGTTTTCAGATCACTGGTTAGCTGCCTAACTTTTTCCTCAATGTCAGCATCTGGTGTATATCTTCCTTTCGCAAGTTCTTTTATACCACGTGTAGACATCGTCCCAGCCCGCAATCGATGAATAGCGTAAGCGTGGCGCGATGTTGTTAATATGTGGCATGCCCTCCTCCAGCTCCAGTGCAGGCGTTTCTCCATATTTCCAAATATAGATAACAGTATCATTTCCTGTATAAGAGAGCTGCGGTTTCAAAGGGTTAGTTTGCAATGTGTCATTAGCGACCTGCCACTGAAGGTGCCACGTTTTCGGTATCCGAAGTGCGTAACTCGTTTCAAGAGTTGCCTCTGTTGCCTGAAAATTATATCCTCCCATAACCCACGTCTCACCACCAGCGACTTTATCTTCAAGCGTTACCTGATACTCAATACAGACTCCTGGTGCAAGACCAACCATAGAGATTACCTTCCACATCGCGTCTGAATAGAGATTATAGGACAATAACCCGGGTGGCGTTACATCGTTGAAAGCTTCATCAGGCGGTTGAAGCACGGTGCCATCTGCTATAATTGTTCTCGCTATGTTAACCCCGATATTTTGCGAGGCGGGTTGATAAGGGATGGCAATATCCCCATATTTCTGGATGCCTCTTTCGGTGAGGATTTTAACGACCTGGTGCGTTGTATAGCGAGATTGCCCTGTCGGTAAAACATCATGGCTAAAGTGGTTGAATAAAACGAGGGTATCAGCGTTGGGATAATCACTCGCGTCTGGAGCACTGGCAATTATGTGTTCCACGTCCGGATCCAGAAGCGTAACAGGCGGCACGTTGACGACCCGCAGCGGACTGTTATCTAGTCGGGCAAGTGCTTGAAGCCGCGTGATGGCAAGCAAGTCGTCCGGGCAACCTCCAAGAGCTGCTGGTATTGCAGCTGCGCCTCAAAGTAGCGCTGCTGATCCTCATAAAGTACTGCAAGTTGTTGCCTTGCCCAAATATCGGTTGGAGATAACCGAATTGATTCTCGGAATTCTGCGATAGCCTCACCGATTTTACCTTGTTCCAGATAGATAATCCCTAAGTAGTTATGCAAATTTTCGCATTCGGAACGTTCACATCTCGGATCAATCGACAATGCTTTGTGGAGAACCGTCACACCTTCATCGAAGCGACGTAGCTGCTTATACGCTAAACCGAGATGATTTAAGGCATATAGGTTATCGACTGAAATGTCCAGAACCCGTTCGTAGAATTCGGCAGCGACAGCATAGTTGCTCAGTTTTTCAGAGATATATCCGACGTAATTCAGAGCCGTGATATTGTTCGGCTCCAGCGTTAGAAATGCGACAAAGGCATTCTTTGCGTTTTCGTACTCCTCAAGTTGAATATATATCTCCGCGATTTTGTACTGCACCTCACTGGCATCCGGACGAATTGCAACGGCGGCTTCGTAAGCAGTAAGCGCGGCACGGAGGTTTCCGTGTTGTAATTCAGAATTGCCTACTTCAACCTGCTCTCGCCACTGACGGTTTCGCTCAATAAGCGGGTCGACTACGGATGGAGTAGACATCTTTTTCGGAAAAATCGCGCATCCGCTAACAAGAACAAGTAGACTCAATATCAAAAATGTATAATTTCTAAGGTGCATCATTGTCGATCTCCTTGGGCAGGGAAGGCGACGACACCGTTTTTTTCAGAAGTTTTGGGTTTTTGCTGTGCCGTTCTTTATCTCGGCGTGTCCTTTTTTCCATAGATTTTTTGAATGCGTCCTCAAGCTCAACACCCGTCTGATTCGCAAGACAAATGAGCACAAAAAGAATATCAGCCATCTCTTCGCCGAGGTCCAGATCCCTCTCGTTCTCCTTGAAGCTCTGTTCGCCGTATCGACGAGCCATAATCCGCGCTAATTCTCCGACCTCTTCCATGAGGATAGCGGTATTCGTTAATTCTGAAAAATAGCGGACCCCAATGGTGTGTATCCAGTCGTCTACGAGTTTTTGGCAACTTTCGAGTGTATAGTCCATATCAATTTTTGACTCCGTTTGCTGGCGTTTATTTAGGACTTATAAGGCGGTACAAACCGACAACGCACTTTGCAAGTTTCGTGGTGTCTAAACCTCAATTTACTCATATTTTAGCAAGGTTTGGAAGGAAAGTAAACATTTTTCTAAGGTGATGCGTTTAACGGCATAGTTGAAGCGAAAACACCTTGATTTTTCCGAAGGCTTAATATATACTTTAAATTGCATAATCGTTTAGGAGGAAAAACTGGTGCCATTTAGTTTTGCGAATCAAGTCCACGACCGGGAATGAGACTCATATTGCGCTAAATAGGCTAAGGAGAATTGTATGGGAATTACGAGTAAAGAACTGGAATTTTATCAAACAAACGGCTATTTCTTGAAAAAAGGGCTTGTCTCTTCAGAAGACATCGCGCGAATCCATGAAGAGGTCGAAGATATACACAACCGTATGTCGGAACAGCCGACAGAAGGTATTGGAATTTCTTGGGAAGTCTATGATTCGGAGGACCATCCGCCGCGTATCAAGCAGTTAATGCACAGTGAGTTGGTGAGTCCGACGCTCAACCGTCTACTTCGTTCTGATGGAGTGCTGGATATATTAGAAGCGTTTATGGGCGAAAACATTTCACTGTATCACAGCAAATTGCTTCCAAAAACAGGGGGCGATGGGACAGCTATCCCGTGGCATCAGGATTACGCGTACTGGAAAAATGATAACAACAAGCCAGTGATGATTTAATTGTCAATTAGCTATAAGCGAGGCGAACCTTGATAACGGGTGCATTCAGTTCGTCCCTGGAAGCCATAAGTGGGGCTTACAGGAGCATGAACGGAAGCATCAAACATTTGGGGTATTCTTACCCGGTCACTATCAAGAACGTGAAGACGCTGTTGCTGTGGAAATGGAACCGGGGGACGCTGTATTTTTTAACGCCCTCATTATCCACGGCTCTGCCGCGAATAACTCGAAGAACGATCGACTGATGAACACGTTTGCCTACAATGTGACAGGGAATGGCGAGACCCAATCTCGGGAAGTCTTACGTGGGGAACCTTTGAGCACATGAAAAAAGTAACCGACATCTGGCAACTCTTCTGTTTTTTGATGATTGGCATCGGGTTAGGATGCGGCACCGATGGAACGAGCGGTACAAACTTTGCACCGCGTATTTTAACCTTTGAAGCCGAATCAGATGTAGTCGCACCGGGGGCAGCGGTACAAATTCGTTTGGAAGTTGCTGACCTTGAGAATGATACTTTATCATACGCATGGTCTGCTACAGACGGTGAATTAACAGAAACCACCGCTGGAGCCCTCTGGCAGGCACCAGAAACTGAGCGGAAGTACCAGATTGAGGTTACAGTAAGCGACGGCGAAAAAGCTACAACGAGTACACTCGATATCCAAGTATGGCGGACCCGACCCGGAGATTATTATCCGTTGGCGGTTGGGAATGTCTGGAACTACCGAGATGCAAGCGGTGCTGAGATTACGTTCGAGATCGTGGACACTATCCAGATTCAACGAGCAGGTGGAAAAACTATTGAGAGTTTTGTCCTTCAGAAATCAAGTAAGGCTGAGGGCTTAGAAAATGTTGTAAACTACTCTTATCTCGGTACGAGCGTTGACGAAAAAGGTGAAGTTTCAGCCGTCGTACAACACGCGCAGAATACCACATCTGGTACAAGTGACACAATCCTGTTCGTCCCGTTCCTGCCACTATATCAATTTCCGCTCATTCCGGGTGATAAATGGGAAGTTAAATTTCAGGCACAATTAGTTCCTGAGCTTTTTCCCATTGGCGAGGGGCTTGATGAATTCGAAGTGCTTTCAGAAGACACAGTGACCGTGACCGCTGGGACTTTTGAACATGTCTTTCAGGTTCAGGAGTCATTTCGGTGGGGATTTGATATAGAAAATCAGAATTTTCCACTTGATATTACTGTCGTGAAGAAGTGGGTCGCGCCAGATGTCGGCATTATCAAATTTACGCAGTCGCAGACCCGGGGCGATGTAACAGTCGAAACCGTTTTTGAACTCGATTCCTTTAACATAGTGAAAAATTAAGTTAAATCTGTGAAAAATCTATCCAAAAAACCAGAGATTTTGACCACAACCGTCGGCTCTTATCCTGTGCCGACGTGGCTTCTATCGGCATCAACGGAACAGAGCCTTCTTGATGCAACGCGGGTCGTTGTCGATATTCAACGGCAACGGGGTATTGAACTGCCGACGGACGGTGAACTCTATCGTTTTGACGCCAACCACCCCGATACAAACGGGATGATTGATTATTTTATCCGTCCGCTTTCCGGCGTAAGGGCAGAGGTGGGGCGACAAGAGTGGCATGAGTTTAGGCAGATGCAGACGATGTCGTTTCGTGCAAAACCCGCCGGTGTTGTTGAGAACGCTTTAGGTGAAGGCACGTTGAATCTTGTTTCTGACTGTGAACGCGCTATGAGCGTTGCTGGGAAAAACATCAAGTTTACAGTGACGAGCCCTTATATGCTCGCACGGACGCTATTGGATAAATATTACGGCGACTTTGACACACTGCTCACGGCTCTGGCAGAGGTATTAGCGGCACAGGTCCGTGAGCTTGATTGTGCCTGTCTTCAAATTGACGAAGCAAATATACCGGGCAACCCGCAAGATGGACCCCGTGCTGCCGATGCGATTAATATTGTCCTTGATGCTTTTGATGGAGAGAAGGCGGTTCATTTCTGTTTTGGCAACTATGGGGGCCAGGTTATCCAGAAGGGGAATTGGGCTGCTCTAATTGACTTCCTAAACACGCTCCGGTGTGACCATCTTGTTTTAGAATTGAAACATCGTCCCGATGCAGATTTAGAAGCACTCAAGGCGGTCTCGTCAGATATTGTTCTCGGTATCGGGGTGATTGACGTAAAATCCAATCCGATTGAGACACCTGACGATGTAGCATCCAGCATAGAAAAAGCGGAAAAGGTATTGGGTCCAGGACGAATTGGTTGGGTGCATCCGGATTGCGGCTTTTGGATGCTGCAACGCTCCGTGGTGGACCGGAAGATAGAAGCTTTAGTGAAAGGACGGGATCGGTACCTCGGTACTGCGTAGACTGACAAAGGAACGCCTATGTTTGAAATCCCACTTCCTGCTTTTAAAAAATATCAGACGATTTCCGCTGCAGCTGCCGGTGTCGGTTTTATAATCGGCGTACTAATTCCCGCCCGTGCTATCTTCATCAATAACTGGTCATGCCCCATTCGGAAATGAACTGATTCAAGTATGTGGTTTCTTGGGTATCATAGGACTGGTAAGCGGAGTCGTTGCCGGAAACCTTGTCGCGCTTGTCTTGATTGGGATTGCGAAATACCGACAGACACCATCCGATTTACGGAAAAAAAGGAGGTAACACAAAAGACTCAAATGGAATTTAACCTTCTGCACGTCGTTTTGCTCCTTGGTACAGGTATTGCTGCGGGTTTCTTAAACACGGTTGCCTTCGGCGGCTCGTTGTTAGCTTTGCCTATGCTGATCTTCCTTGGCCTCCCCACTGCGGTAGCAAACGGTACCAATAGGGTCGCTATTTTCTTCCAAAACTTCAGTGCCATCATGGGATTTCGCCGTAAGGGGGTCTCTGACTTTCGCTACGGCATCTTACTCACCGTGCCAGCGGTTATCGGTGCCGGGATAGGTGCTAAAATCGCAGTTGACACCAAGGACACACTATTCCAACTAATTCTTGCTGTTGTGATGGTTACTATGTTGGTTCTAACCCTACTCAACCCAACAGAACGGTTGAAAGACAGGATCGAAAGCGGAGGGAAACGTTCCAAAATCATCGCAATGGTTGTTTTCTTCTTTATCGGAATTTACGGTGGATTCATTCAAGCCGGTGTGGGGTTTGCTTGTTATAACTGCCTTGCGTCTTCTTACCGGTATGGACCTAGTTCGGACGAATGCGATTAAAGTCTTTGTTATCTTCTTTTATACCGTGCTTGCGCTTGGTATTTTTATCATGGAAGACAAAGTCAATTGGTATTTAGGACTTACGCTGGCAGCAGGTAACTCATGTGGGGCATGGCTTGGAAGCCATTGGGCAGTCGACAAAGGGGAAAAATGGATTAAAGTGATGCTAATTGTTGCCGTAGTCGCTTTTGCTATCCGTCTCGTTTGGCAGAGCGTGAGTGGAAGTTAGCGGTTCAATTCTTGATACGAGAAGATGAGTCGATGGAGTGCGGTGATATGGGTTGTGAGTGTAAGTACCCCAAGCACACAAAGTAGAATCAGCCCATTGGCTTGGATGATAGGAAATTTGTGCAACAATAGCCCTTGGAGTAATGCCCCAGCACCGAGTAAAATGATGCGTTCTGGACGTTGCATGAGCCCAACCTTACAGTTAACCTGAAGCCCCTCAGCTCTCGCCCGCACATAACTCACTAAAATTGAACCGAACCATGCGCCAAATGCGAGAATTATCCCTATCAAACTTTCCAAAGTATAAAAATAGATAAGTACCCCAAGAAAGAGAAAACCTTCCGAGTAGCGATCAATGACGGAGTCCAAGAGTGCTCCTGATGCCCGAAGATTTGTCTGGGCACGAGCGACCGCTCCATCTATCATATCAAAACTCCCTCCAAACAAAATCAGAATCCCGCTTACAACGAGACGGCCGGTTGCCATGTAAAAGGTTGCGATGAGGTTCACGGCGAATCCAAAGAGCGTCACCATATTCGCTGTAATACCGAGGGCAACCATTTTATTTGCAACAACAGACAGAATCACCTCAAGGCGGGGTTTTAATTTTGCTTCAAACATTGCGAAATCTCCTCATTGGGATGGCAATCCTGACGAAAACTCAGTTTTGCTTTTAGCATGCATGTGCAGAGATGCCCTCCGACTCGCAATTAATTCTGCGGCCGGAATAGTCTCCGCTTGACAGAGGAGTTCCAAAATTGCGGATGCGATTTCCGTTGGATGCTGCGCTATTTTGACTTTCCCGTACTCAGAAAGTTGAGTATTCGGAGATTCCACAAGTACGACACCATCGTTCCAGATTGGTTCCGGGGGCGGATATGTGCCATTATAAGTTTCGTCAAAAACGCTAATAATAGGGTGTGGCAGCTTTAACAGTGCCAATTCGGCGTTCTGAATCGCCTGCGTGTTGGCTAACGAAATTTTACGTTGCTTTGTAGCAATACGTACAACAGGCAAATTCCACAAAACGATAGGCCTTCTAAGACGATGAGCAAGGCTAACAAGGCGTAAAAGCTGTCTCCATTCTGGTGGGGTCTTTAGGCTTTGTCCATCGCCTTGCACAAGGGTAACTTTCGTGTCATATATCCACGCGAGCCCTGCAAATTGGAACGCCCCTTTACTTCCGGCTCTATCGCCAGAGAGCGCAATCGCCTGAGTGAAAGGGGGCTGAGGATATTTAGCGGTATTTGCTGACATATACTCAATACCTTTACACGATAGCAAACCCTACAAAAAAAGCAGGGAGGTGGTTTAAACACCTTCCCTGCCTAAAAGGTGATGAGTTTCGTTTATCGCCGCTGCGTCCACCCATAGCATTGATAGCGAACAATCCGATACCCGCTGCGACTGTTGTCAGGAACACCAAAGCACGCTTGGAAGAGGAAAGTTCCTCGTGTACACCCTTGGCATTTTCAAGTATCATCTTGACTTCACTGATTGCTTTTTGGTTGCTTTCAACCGCGGTCAAAAACATTTTCACGTTCTCTTGGATAGCTTCAATGAGTTCGTGTGTCGCTTTAGCGTTCATTTCACGCTCTTCAAGCATCGAAGCTGCTGCTTCAAGATGCTCGTCAAGGTGAGCAATCTGATCAAGGATAGCATGCTTTGTTCATTTCAAGAGCTTCTTTGATGCCCGAGGCGACTGCATCACTGGACTGACTCACAGCGTCCATTAGCTTCTCTTGTGATTTGAGGCTATCCTCAAGTGCCATAAGTTGTGCCTTGAGTTGAGCCATACTCTCGTTGAGTCCGCTAATTTCTGCTTCCAGTTTGTCTCGTGTCGCTTCGGATTCGGCTAATTCCACTTTTAGCCGTTCCAGTTCTGCCTGATACTCAACGAGCTCTTCCTCAGCAACCCCAACAACCTCTTTTGCCATAGAGACTGGAATACGCAGTTCTTCGCCGGGATAGATGAGGTGTGGATTGGTGAAGTCGTTGTACTTGCTCAGTTCGCGCCACCGGAGTGGATCCTTGAGATGCTCTTGGCAGAGATGCCAGAGCGTATCTCCCTTTACAATAGTAACGAGCATGGTATCGTCATCGCCTTCGTGCGGTGAAATTCGCGCCGAAGCGGATAACACATAAACACCGCTGAGTGCTGCGCAGACGTATAGAATCAGTGCTAACTTCAGCGTGCCTCTTATCATTTTCATTAATCTTCTCCTTTAATATCTATAAGAGAGGGAAGCAAAGTGAGTTGATCCGACTCCGTTGATTTCACTCGCCATACCATCTTGGATAGCATAGTCAATCTGCAGCCCACCGATATTCACACCAAATCCACCGAAGAGGTTTTGGGCATCGCGTGATGCTCTGACACCACCTCGGATGGCAAGCGCAGTTGATTTGTAAGTGAGAATCGTATATTCAGCACCGAGTCTTAGGCTCGTAGCACTTTCGTCGAGATTCACGGACTCTTGTTCAAGATCCGCCGCGAATGTGACGACGTTGCCCATATAGAGATTGTAGGCTACACCGAGGTTGATAACCATCGGCACAGTGTCGTCGCCGAGAGATGCCCCGAGATATTTAGCGACGATACCGTAGTGGAAGGTTGGGACCTTTTCTTCGCCTACATCTATGTGCAGGGCATGTCCCATTAGTCCGATATCTACACCACCGAAGCCACTCTGGTTCTCAACGCCTTCTGCCCCGAAGTTATCCGTCAGCATACGGCCCGTTAGACCGACACCGAAGTTTCCGAAACCGATACCGTAAGAGAGAGAGTAGGCATTTGAGCTGTAGCCGAATTCTCCACTGTAGCGTTCATTGGCATCGTATTGCTGGATACCACTTACACCTGCGTTTGTGACAGCAATTCCTATAGATCCCGCTGAACCGAGAGCTTTCGTCAACGCGATGAAGTTATGGCTTCTATCGAGATCAAGCTGCTGTGTTGAGAAATTGAGGCTTAAATCCGCTGCGGAGCCGAGTCCTGCTGGGTTCCAAACGGTTGCGGTGGCATCATCGGCGATTGCTGTGAAAGCACCGCCTAAGCCAATTGAGCGGGCACCAGCACCAAGCCGTAGATGTGGCATAGCATCCACTCCGGCAAAACTGACCGGTGACACCGCTAGGATAAGAAAGAAAAGGGGTATTAAACCGCATAACAATTTCGGGACCTTTTTGGAACCCCATTTAGCGATTTGCTTTGTCATTAACATTATATCCTCCTTCAGTGTCCACATCGGGAACTGGACAGATGTCCAATTCCCGATATGCAGACTGCCATTTACTTAGCGCGTCAGTGCGAGTTTGAGAATAGCATACTCTGGTTCAAAACCATCTGCTACCATAATTTGACAGAAGTAAACGCCTCGAGCTAAATCTTCACCAGCAGTGCTGGTTCCGTCCCAACCGATTGCGCCCTTGCCAATGTACTCGCCTGCGTCCCAAACCTCATTATCGACAAGGACTCGGACAGGTCGGAGCGTCATGTCGTAAATGACAATGCTCACTGTGGATTGTCGAGTCAGTGTGAAGGAGATACGAGTGTTCTCCTTGAACGGGTTGGGTGCATTAATCGGACGAGATGCCAATACTGGACCTTCCTCACTCTCAACAAAGAAAGTAAACTCGTGGACTGCCATGTTCGCTTCACGGGCACCACTGCTCTTTTCAGAGACATTGCCCTCTTCATGCGCCATGTCAGACACTTCAAGTTTGACCGTATGTTGCCCGAAAGCGAGTTCGACATCTGGGGTGTATATCACCTGTGATGCGGACTTCTGGTTCGGTTTGAGGTTAATCAGGTTGTCGTCCAGAACGAAGCGGATAGAATCCATATCTACACCAGATTCAGCATCTGCGTAGGTTATCGAAATCTGCGGCCGGCGTTCGGTCAGACGTGCCTCATTTTGTGGGGAAGCCATCGTGATTAAATAATTTTATTTAATTGATATTTCTTTATTTGGATTTGGGAGATAATAATTATTAAGGAATTTTAATATTTTGATGGGATTAATTTTTATTTGATTTTTATTTTTTTGAATTTATTATGTATAATAACAAATATTATTTGATTAGCATAATTATTATAATTAATTTGAAAATTTGATCATTTTTAGATATATATGGAATTTTTATTTATTAAATTAATTTATAAAATTTTAGTTCTGTGATTGTTTTGGATGATTTTTTTTTTTGGATTATATTTTTATAATTAAGTTATCTTTTGATGATAATTGTTGAATTATTTTTGATAATATGAAATATGCTAATTTTGTGATATATAATTTGATTTTTTATTTTTTTATAGGATTATAATGAAGATTAATCATTAGGGAATATATATGATCATATGATTTTAATTGGAGTAATTTATTAATTCTAATTTTTTAAATAATAGAATTGATTTTGATTTTTAATTTATATTTGATTATATTATTTATTTTGGATGAATAATAATAAATTTAATTTATAAAGAATGATGATTGAATTTTAGATTAATTTTTAGGATTGGGGATTATTATTGATAAGAGGAATTATTTATATTAATTATTGGGATATCATTATATTGATTTTGTAATTTTTAAATAAGGGATTCAATTAAAGATTTTTAATAAATATGGGATTTGAAATTAATGATGGATTTTTTAGAATTTTTGAATTATTTGAATTAAAACCCCCGGGGGCCGCAGTTATCGAAGTCGATTGTGAAGCTGCCTTTTGCTGTGTGGCAGAATTACCGATTGTATCAGTTGCGCGAACCTCAATCGAGTAAGTTCCCTCATCAAGGGGCTCTTCAGGATTGAAATCCAAACGTGTGATACCTTCGACATCGTCTTCGCCATCATCTTCGGTATCGCCTTTCACCTCTTTACCGTCGCTATCCATCAGGACAATATCGATTTCGTCAACGCCTGATTCGTCGTTGGCACTTGCGGAGATCGTTGGAAGTCCGCCACGGATAGTTCCTGTCGGAGAGATCGAGGTAATGCTCGGTGCGACGTTATCAACAACGAGTGTGAAAGTCCACGAATGTTCGGTCGTACCACCTTCACTGATTGCGATGAGCCTTACGGTGTGCGTGCCTGCCGTGAAACTCTCTGCAGTCTGGATGCGCCCTTGAGCGATTTGCGCAAGCGGGATGGATCGGAATGGTTTATCGTCAACACCGAACTTCGCACTCACGACACTGGATTGTTCATCAGTGACAACCGCTGAGAGTGTTATCCAGCTATCGCCTTTGATAACTCCAGACGGAGCGGCTTCAGAGATGACAGGCGGCGACGTATCTTTCGGTACTGCTACCGTAAAGGTAACAGATGTTTCCGCCGTTTTGCCGTCACCATCAGTGACTTCAACGACAACCGTGTGATTCCCATCGGTGAGTGCTGCCTCAGGGGTATATGAGAATCGATTTCCATCTACCTCTGGTGTTGCAGCTACATCGTTGAGAGTAAATGTCGTTACTTCAACAGCACATGCGCCCGAAAATTCACCACTGATAAGCGGTTCGCCGTGCTCGAAGGTTTGACCTGAAGCAGGGGAGTGAATCGCAACGGTGGGAATAGTACCACTGATAGCGAATTCAACAGAACCTTCACCGACGTTGCCGAGAATATCAGCAACTTGGACGGTTACGCGATATGCACCACCGGGGAGTTGCTCACTGCGGGTGTAAACCAGAGTTGTGTCATCTTTTTCAAGAGCCGTCTGGTCACCGGTTTCCCCCCCCCCCCTTTGAAACCTC